TGCAGTCTTTCCTGGGGGGTTAACTTTAAAAAATCAGCACAATTAAAAATATTATGATTTTTTTCGCATATAAAACATGAAGCTAACTTTTTGTTACTTTGAGCCTTAGAATATGAAGTATGGAACACACGTTTTCTAAGCGGCGTATTAATGTTACATTTTTGAGGAGGGAGAGATTTTGTTTCTTTATTAATTTTATGGATGCTTATCGATTCTAAGGTTTTGCATCGCCTTTCTAAAAATGAAATTAAATCTGTATGGGACGGAATGTTATTGGGTTCAAGTGACTCTTCCCATGTGGAACTAGAAAAATGGTCCAATTTTGAAACTACAATGTAAATGATAAGATCGCTCCATTGATCGACAGGGCGATCCAACGCTTTCAGGGTATTTAAATTAATACTTAGTGTATCTAAAAAGTCCCGCAAGGATTTACAGTCCGATTTATTAACAAAAGGCAAACTGAAGATATTTTTTAAATGATTGTTAATGATGAAGCGCTTGTTTTCGTATCTGTCTTTCAATAATTTAACCGCAATTGCATAATTTGTGTTGTCCGCTTTTAGCGACTCAAGAGTTTTCTTGGGTTCATCTTCCAAGCATGATTTTAAATAATGTAATTTTTGAGAGTTGGATAATGACTCATTACTGCCAACTAAACTAGAAAAAGTATCAAAAAATGATGCCCATTCGGTATAATCCCCACTGAACTTAGGTAATTCAATAGTTGGCAATTTTACGTTAAGATTTTGATTTGAATGAGATGTGGTTGATGAACTACTAGATAATTGAGATGAGGCCTTTGTCACCAAATCATCATATACGCCAAGCACCTCAAATATTTGATTCAGTACATCCCTAAACTTATATTCGACCCGTTCATCAGACTCGTTTTCATCTTCTGAAGTTATTATTATAGAATTGGCACCATAGTGCAAACTGATATTTTCCATTTCCGATTTTAATTGTTCAACGTCCTGTAGGCGACGGTTTAATTGTCCAACCTTTGAATGATTAGTTTCGTCATCAACGAAAATCTCATGTGTGTTTAATTTATCAAGAAGAATTATGAATTTATTGATTGTTTCGTCCTGGCTTTTCGTCATCTTACGTACAAGAAATGCACAACGATATTATAAGAATTGGAGCTTACCTTGATGTCCCCAGAATTGTAGACGACGAATCACAGAAAAATCTGTGTATGACGGTTGACCAATATTTCCGATTTGAATAACTTTATGTCGAAATAGGGCGCACTGCACTATTATATAACACTCGCGGCCGCTGATCCGGCTCGAAGGACCATGTACGTTTTTGTATTGATATATGAATAAGTTGTATGTTGTGTTTGATTGGTAAATAAGAGCAGCGGAATGCGAGATAAATATTTGGTGTTTATTATCGGAAGGATACAGATCAACTCTCTGTTTCAAAGCCGGTGGTGGCCCGACCGAGCCCGTGAAGGCGGAGGGGGTAAAAACAGGCACCCCCGGGTCATTGGCTCTCACAGTAGGGTTTACCGGTTTTTCCAAAAATGAATTTTAAAATTGTATGTTAAAACCTTTCAAATGATCCCGACAGCACTGCATCAGTAATTCATTATTAAATTCTTAAATCTGCCAAGTTTTTGGAATTCGATAAGCTTCTTATTGTTAGGTATGTTTCTCGCAAATATGTTAGGAATATCTTAATGAAAAAAATGGCGGCTATTTCATTCAAGTGAAAAAGGATAAATATCTACCTGTCTTGGAATAATCTCACAGTATTATACATAATTGATGTATGTGCATGTATCAAATAGGTTTTCAATATATGTATACAACAAATATATTTATTTTTTTATCAACCTCTCTCCAACAGACAGCTCTCAATAACGGACAGTTTCTGAGTTACCACAGCTGTCCGTTGTAGAGAGGTTTTGCTGTACTTAAATAACAATAAAAATATTGCATACTCTAAATTCTACAAAAGACAAAGAGAAAAAGTTAAATGTATAGAATAATTCGGAATAAAGATGGAAACAGATGTAGCAGATAATGCAAACATGCTATACCACACAGTGAAAATGCTAAAGAAAGAAAATAAACCACATTGGAAACATACAAGTAAAAAGAGATATGTGATTGCAGAAGAAGATAAAATTGTGGGAAGATGGAGGGAAAATTATTAGGAACAGGTGGAGAACAGAAGGTGTAAATACAAGAAGAAAACATTGCAGAAAAAGAAAGGGAAATCGAAAAGCATGCCGTGATAAAAGACATTGAAACTATTAACGTGGGAAGGGCCCTAGAATAGGTAATATAAGACCAGAAATGATAAAGTGTATAAGAGAAGAAAGAATAAACTTATTTTTACGAAATACACCCTTACGCCGCCTCGGTACGACGCCTATGGCCGTCGAGAACTCTCTGGTCATCCGGTGATGATTCACCTCAATGCGACTGAGCGACGGAGCGCTAAAGAAATGCCTCGAAACGGAAGTCGCGAATGTGGATTCCGGAGAAGTCTAGAAGCGGTGACATAGGGTGTCGAGAAGGACCGCGTACTGTTTAAATAAGGTCCACCTGTGAGGAACGGATTATTCAGCTAGCCGGAATAATTTTTGTACATGATCGCTGCAACAGTTAGTTGTGTAAATACGAGTTGTTAAGAAATAAATTGTTGAGTTTACCCACGCCAATTTTATTCGCCCGCCCAACTTAACAATATTATATAAAATACTAAAAACGGCATAGAAAACTAATAAAATACCAATAGAATGGAAGACTGCAGTGATAACACCTATACATAAAAAGAGAAATTACAACAACTGTAATAACCACAAATGAGTATCACTACCTACTAAGTACCGCCCTAAAAGTATATGGGAGGATTATTGAAGGAAGACCAAAAGAAAAAATAAGGGCAAGCCTGGCAGAATCACAAGCAGCATTTGGGACACAATATGCAAGACAAATATCAGAGTAAATAACGGCTTCGAATAAAAATTTGTATACATAAGTACGATAGATTTAGAGAAAGCATTTGACAGATTATCAAGAAGTAAACTATTAGAAATTCTGCGAAAGAGGGACATAAATGGAAAACTATTAAAGATAATAAATACTCTATACGAAACAACCAAAAATGTAATAAAAAAAAAGGGGAAACCAACGGAAAAGTTCACAACCAACAACGAACCACGACAAAGAAGTATTTTGGACCTTCTTTCATTTATAATAATAATGGACAACATAGCAAAGGAAATAAATGAAGGGGAGAGGGGAATCCACCTAGGCTACAGAAAACTCAGAGCTGTAGAAATGAGTAAACTAATTTACGGGGATGATTTGATCATATTTGCAAATAACAAAAGGAAACATAGAATAAGAAGATGGTTAGGAGAAGAGAAAAATATAATCTAAGAATAAACACCTCGCGGGCAGAAATAATGACAATAGCAAATGAAAAACTGAAGACGGAAAGAGATATATGCAGGGGGTGGAAATAAGAGAAGTAAAAGAAATAGGATATAAAGGAACAATAACAGAAAAAAAGCAGGATTTGGAGAAGAAGAGATCAATAGAATATACAGAAGCACAGCGACATACAGAAAATTATATTACCAGTTGTTTAATAAGAAGGAGATATCCCAAGGTGCTGAAGTAAATTTAATGTGTATCGGGCGGTTTTACCGCCAAAGCTCATTTATAGTAGTAAATCAGAGGTTTTAAACGAACATCATAAAAGGAAAATTACGGCGTGTGAAATGAAAATTTTGAGAAAAAAAAATATAAAAGTAAAAAGTGCAAAAAATTGGGACAAATCGGGCATGTACTTAGTATGAATGGACGAAAAAGAAGACAGTGAAAGTAATATGTGAAGTGGTGACAGGAGAAAAGACAAGAAGAGGAAGACCGAGATCGTGTGATAGTAACAGTCATCACTGGTAACAGTTTTATCTTTCTGTGTTTGTTGTGCATACTAAGAGTGGTTTTTCAACTGAGTATTAATTAAAGAAAACAAATTTGGTTGCAAATCTGTTCAGCTATGCAACCAGTAATACGATTGATTTTACCGTTTTATCCGTTTGCAGGCAAATAACACCAGTAGGTACAGTGAATATTTACACAAACCACAAAACTATTGTAACTTCGAAAAGATAATTTATTTCATTACAAATATCTGCTATAATTAAACAAAGGAAAACATAGCACAACACTGATCATCACATATAAAATAGGAATAAAGAAAAAAGTCTTCGTTTAACAGTTACAAACGTTTCTTTTAAGCCAACTTTATGTGAACGAAAGATAATTTTGGAAACTACTGTGCCGATTGTTGTAAAATTTTGTATGTATATTACTAATATCATGTCGATGGTAAAGCGCTAACCAAAATTTGGCTAATCGTCCCCATTAAAATTGTCAATTTAAGTTTTATAAAATGTTATTTTTACATTTTTTTTTTCGTAAAAAAGTCTAAGTTGTATAATTGTATCAGTTGGCGTCTTTTCCTTGTAACCTGAAAGGTCAGGCATACATAGGGAGGTACTTTTTTTTTTCTTAAACCTTGATTCTTATCTATATTTTTTTAATTTAGTAACTTTTAGTTACTGTTGTTTAAAGAAAACTTAAATTATGAAACTTAAATTATGTATTTTTTGTAAATGTAAGTGAGCCAACATCCTCCTTCGTCAGAAAATATGCAAACTGAGGGTTGTGGAATAAAAAAATTGTCAAACTGTTTTAATAAAAAAGAATGATGTTCTGGAACCAAATCAATATGTATTAATAAAATAAAAAATCATAAACTATGTCTTTTTACTTTTGTCACTATTCTGTATATTGAGCGCTACCTAACAAGGTTATTAAAAATAGTGCATGCAACATATTTTCAGCTTTATCTATATCAGTATTTGTAATTAACCATATACCTAATCCCAAGGTCATTATGCTGTAAACACTTTTAGTTTCCTTTTCGCTACAATACAATAATAGAAAGAGTAAAAAAACACATACCGTTACTTTTATTTTGGACTGCAGTCTATTCAACTCTTGTCTCAAGGTCTCCGTCAACGCCGTCACCGCATGTTTCGACGCCGGGTAAATATTAAACCCAGGAAAATTGGGAACAACATGCCCACAGTAACTATTTATGTGGATAATATGCCCATTAACACCGTGCTTCTTCATGCTCTTAATCGCCTCTCTCGTGGCCACGCACAAACCCATGACGTTGAGGTCAAGGACACTCTTCCAATCTTCCTCATCTCCATCAACTAGCGACGTATCTTTGGCTACGCCAGCATTATTCACCAATACATTCACGGCCCCTAGATTTTCCTCAATCCAGCTGAAGGCCTTCACCACCTCTTGTACCTTCGAACAATCGGCTTTGTAGGGGTGAAGTTTGCCCTTCTTGTCGGAGAGTTCCTGCGCTTTTTTTTCGACAAGTTCGACACGTCGGGCGATGCCCACTACCTGAGGATGGTTATAGTATGAAGGGGTTGATGAAATAGGGGGGTTATACCTGGAGGCCGATTTCGACGAGTTGGTCCACGATGGCTGCCCCGATTCCGGAGCTGGCACCTGTTACTACGGCCACTTTGCCGACCCAGCGATCCATGGAGAGTACCATTATGAAAAACGGTGATCGTGTGGCGGTAGTTTGCGTTAGACTGAGGAGGTTTGTAGGTTTTTACGGGTCATTAGTGTCGGGTTCTTGGTATAGTTTGGGGGAAGTACCGTTGAACACTGATGTTAGTCGTGCGGAAAATTTGGAGAGAAGCTAGCTGAAGGTTGACGAAGATAATTAATTAAATTAAATAGTTTTCGGTGGATGCTTGAATTTGGCTTTTTACGTAACGTGAAGTTTTTATTGTAAAATATAAATAAATAATATATCTTTTGAGGTTTTAACATGTACTTTTAATGGTGTGGGATTTTCCTCGCTGAGCTGTGAAATAGTTGATTGAAAAAATGCCGAGAATTACATGTTTCCAAGTACCTACTAACTAAATTCTATTATCTCGGTCTGATGTGTATTTTTTAACCTTTTTAATCGCTGTTTTAATAATTTGTTTTCTATCATAAGATTCATAAGTATTACGTCTTGCATGTGATTGTGGAGTAGGATTCGCACATTTTAAACATTAAATTCACTGGTGTCTGTCTATTTATTTTTTGGTAACATAATCTCGTTAGAAATTTATAATTATGTAATGTTTTATTTTACACTTAATAATGATGTCCTAAAAACGATGACAGAAAGTGAGAGCTTAAAAAAAAAGGTTGGGAAATCTGTCGAAGCCACATTTTCTGGGAGGAAAATTTGTGTTAGAAACAAAAACAGACTAAAAAATTGTGTTCTGACAGATACAAAATTCTTCTTTGCTTCAACGTCCAGCGAATATAGAGAGCCATGCTTATCAGGGAACCATTTTAAAAAGGAAAGAGGCTTGGAAAATATTCTTTTTATGCCGCATGAGATAAAATAAAACGAAGACAATCTAAACAATTTTAATCTCATAACACTTTGGAAAATTTTAAATATGAACCTAATAATAATAATAATTAAAGAATAAATACAATCAGGATTTTTCGAATGTCTTTCTCATATTGAAAAACATGTTAACCAACTGAGCTAATCTGCCGTTGTTGTAAACTGTTGTTATACAACTTTGATTTTCTTTTTGGGGAAATTTGGATGCCTAGGGTAGAAATCAAGGCGGATTCGTCCACCACAAGTACAGGTGTATGTTATTTTATAAAATTTAAATAGTATTTACCATGAAAAATTTTGAGATTATGTGATTAAATTGTTGACGGGAACGAGCAGATTAACTTCGGTTTTACCATCTGCACGATATTTCCACAACACCTATAAAATTTGACAATAATCAGTTCAGTAGTTTCGGACATTATCTGTTGAATATAATATATCGACACGGACCTATTTTTGCATAATCTGGGGATCATAAAACGTAGAAAAAACATTAAAGTAACCATCCGTCAGATGGATTCTATTACATTACTGTGTTAGCTTACTCTCAATAAATGGTGTTTCACCATTTATACAATAATCATAAATTATTATCCTTAGAATTTCACAGCAAACTGTGATCGCTAATAGGTACACAGACAACAGACAGAAAACTAATACTTAGTTCTAAATCTGAAAATGGACTTCCCGGTGTGAGTGAATATTATCAGTAATACTAATAACTTACAAACTAATACCTTACAGCTACAATAACTTAACTTAATTACGGTGAAGTAAAAAAGGACATAAATTTCTAAATTATTGTTCCTCCAAAAACGTTGTTAATGTTACAAGGTTATTTTCTGATGCAATAGCAAAAAATTTGTCTTAGTCAACCGCAATTGACATAAAAAAATATGAACTAATTTTTAAAATGTTGATTTTGATAGACTAAATTAATTTACGAAAAAAAATTCAAAAAAACATCCAAATTGAAATACGTGAATATTTGAAACTGTGGGTGAATGAATTTTAAGTTATTGTATTGTACATAACGTTTGAAGATTTAGTACCTAAAAAAGAACTCTTTAAAATTTAAACCCAAATAAATTGCGGTTCATTGAACAAAAACTACTCCTTGTAAAACTATTAACATTGTTAACATACGTATATATGAATTCAATCATGTCTTTGGACAGAGCAAATAGGACAAAGACTTCAGTACTACTATCTATCCAAGTAAGATCAGAACTTTGAGTTTTCATTTTTACTTCCCGAGCCTAAGAAAAGAAAGTATTATAATAGGGTTGTGGCAGGGCTATAAAAGTCTCAGCTGATTCCATAAGAAATACATGGGGAGCTTACGGAACGACATAAAGAGGTCACTAGCGTCACTAAAGGTGCTCCGACCTTGAAGAACATAGTTTCTTTTTCATTTTCAGGTTTTCGGTGAACGTTTTGTCTGCTTTTGTCAACAAGAAATGTCATATTAATTACGGAATCATAGGGGATGTTGGGTTATGGGGTTAAAAACAAACGTAAAATTTATGTTAACAAAGTAATAGATACTTACGATACATGTAAAAAATACTAGAAAATTCCAGGCTAAGGAGGTCAACAAACTGCAGGCTAAACGAAATAGTTTAATTTTCGATGTGTGCGTGTTTGAGCGGTCCAAGATTTATTTTTAAATTTTAGTGTGTAAAAAATTCTAACTAATAAAAACTGAAACGAGGTAGTCAAGAGGAAAGTCTTTGCAGGGGTGATGGAATGGTATTTTTGTGTGGTCCGTTTTTTAGCCGCAAACCAGTTAACGACTACGGTGCATAAATTGGGAAAAACTCACAAAATGTATTACCCATTACCGGAGTATAAACTGCAAAATGTTTAGGTGGCATCATTAAATCGCCAAAAATCACATCTTCATTGAAGACTTTAAAATGTCACACAATTAAAACAGGATGTATCACTTCGTAAGAATGTGCAAAGTTCACAACAAACTTCGCAGAAGTGGTGGTGTAAGAATTTTTGTATTAATGAGTATCCACAAACATACCATAAACAGTTGTGTTCTTTCAAGGTGAGTTTCCGGTAACTCACATCACTTAATGATTGTTGAAGAGGCTGGAATACAGGGGAGATGTGTTGTGGAAGTTTGTTTAAAAGAACACCTTAGCAAATTTTTCATTTCAAATAAAATAGTGTTTCACAGTTGGTTCTTGCACTCGTATCGAAATAATCTGTAGTAAATAGTTTCCGAAACACACTTTGGAATTGTATTGGTGTGGGATTTATACAATTCCAAATTGACGTCTCACAGAGCCAAACAAATATGTCAAACAATACTGATTTAGTTGCAGCAACCTTTTAGTGAAAATTGTAAACAAATTGTATTCTGTGAAAACTATTAAAAATAATAAGCAAAATGTTTATGTTCCTGAAGTTGTTTTTCATTTTTTTGTGAGTGATTAAAAAATATTAAGAGTGAAATAAAAATTTTGCAATTCACTTGTGGATAACAACTTATTTGTCAGACTTGTTAAGGATTTAATAAACGCAGTTTAAAACGTCAAAATTGAATAAAAATGTTTTGCTTGAATATATTAATAATTTATAAGAAAGAAAAAAATGGCCAATGAATTTTCGCGGTGAAATTACCTAATTAACAGCCGCGCGAAATCACATTTGAATAATTTGAATTTGAGAAAGAAAAAAAATTCAAATCATAAATCGTTAAACATAAGTGCACGGTAACGCTTGCTGGATAGTTGGACAATTAGTACGGCTAGGGATTTTAGTTGGAGGGTTGGTGGTTAGACAGGTTAGACAGGTTAGTTTAAATTAGTTGGTTTGGTAGTTGATAAAAAGGGAGGAAGCCTTTGTTTAACGGAAATTAATCGTAGCGTTGACGACACAGCTTGCCCCCAACCGTATAACTAATTCTTGGGGCTCTTTAACCGGAAAAAAGTGCGGATTTTCGTTCAACGCGGAACACGTGCCGAAAATTTGTTTTAATGTTTGTAAATTTACCGATCAAGTTAGTTTTTCTTAATCGTCAGCTAGTGTTAACACAATTTAACAATCAGGATTATTTAAATAAACCACTTGCTAGATTTCATGAAATTCACATAGTCAGGAATATACCTTTGTTGTTTAATTACGAATAGGTTTCTAGATGCATATACGTAAGTGTTACATTATAAAACTTCTTAATTCTTCACACAAGATTGCTAATAGTTCATTTACGGCAGTTAAATTAACAAAATTCGTACTGCGAACTGGTGGGGGGTTAAAATAATTTCTTCCCTTAGGCGGTTATCATCGTTATTATGATCACATCATCGAGGCTTGTCCTCACAACGCTACAGATTGATTACTTCATCGAGACATGTCCTCGCAACGCTAGAGATTGATAACATCAACGAGGCTTATTCCTCGCAACGATAAAAATATACATGATCGAGGTATTCCCTCGCAACAATAAAATTACATCACCGAGACGCTTTTTCCTCGTAACTATGATTGGATATTTTTTTCTCTGTTTATTATGTGTTTTGTTGGGGTAACGAGTTCACGGTATTCTAAACTCTCAAAGTAAATTGTTTTTTTTTTGAAGTAACCAATCACTTAGGTCATGATATAATTTGGCATAACGTAAACTCTTTGTTTGAATCGTTGATAAAGTGTGGCAAGTATTAATCTCATGTAAATTTTGTTAAGTTTGCAATTTTTTACCTCATACAATCTTATTTCTCTAATCTCACAATTTTAACCTCAGTAATTTTCCTTTGTTGTATGATTTTCATTGAACGTAAATTTCATGCTCTGCAGTTTTAACCTCACATAATATTTTTATTTTGCACAAGTTTATTTCACACCAGATCTCTTATTTTATAAATCTTTGCTAGTTTTGTTTTGTAAACATTTTGTCGATGAAGATTTATTTGTTGTTTAAAATTTCACAAGATTATATGGCGAATATAAATGTTGTTTATTGCCCTTTTAAACTTTGACACTTGTTCAGTTGTTATTAATATAAGAGTTAAAAGAAACTGAACATTTAAAAATGGAACTGAGGTTAAATGACATCGGAAAAACGTAGCAGAAGCGTAGGGCGAGGCTCCTACTGATGGCTATCGGGATTTGTCCCGCCATCTACACAAGGGATGGATGGTTTGTATAGAGTCAGTGGGAACGGTCTGGACGACGTGAAGTTGTCCGCTTATTTATAGCCCTTGACATTCCAACCAACAGTTTTCGACCGAAACGGCCTGGTTGGCACAGTACGTCTCTTCGTTAGGTAGAGGGGTGCTGGGCAGTAGGCTTGCCGATAGATAGAATCACCGTCGCGGGGAAGACCAGCCCGAACCGGTAGCCCCAAACTCCGCTTGTGGTAGAACGCCCCAAGGGTGCTTTTGTTGTGCTCCTGTTAACTTCCGTAACTCTAAAATTTGACGCCACACGTCCGTAGTAACTTGTGTATTTGCATCTAGTTACTTTAATTCAGATTTTGCTTTGTTCCTGTTAAATTTGTGATATTCAAATATTTATTTGCATTGATTTAAAAACATAAACGTAGGGTTTTTAGTACTTGTTTGGTTGTCATTTGCGTATGTCTGTCAATTCGCGAGTGTCTTTTCTTTCATATTTTTAAGGTGTTTGAAGTGTAATATGTCGTGAATATACGATAGGGGGTTTTGGGGCTGAGCAGTGAATCCGAGATGGCAAGTCCGTGTCGCGTTTGCTCGCAGCTTCTTTCCTCCTAGAGAGGGGGCGCAATTTTTTTGCCCCATCCTAAAAATTTTGTCTATTATTTCTTGCGCTCTCTACTCGCACGCAGTGTATGCTCACTTGTATGAAAGAACGTCTTCCCGCCACTTTTCAAAAAAAAAAACACACATCGTAGGTTCCCAGTTTGTTAGACGATCACAGCCAAGGCCAGATTTTAAATTTTTGAATTTTTCGCGGGTCTTTCAAACTTTTTCAAGGTCCATTCAAAGGTGGGAAGTTGGATTATCACAGGGTCCATCCAGCAAATGGCTATATTGATCTTTTCTCTACGTTTCATGACCCCTAAATTATGAAAAAATAGGTCTTCCGCTTCTATTTTTCGACTGTAATTATGTGTGTTAATTTTTACTAAACAGGTAATAATCAATCAATCAGTCAAGTTTTATTTGTACCCCTCGGACTTTAAATGAGATTCAGCCCTTATCACACTATCAGTCAATTTACAAAAGCTGAATTAAATATTTGGCATTAAAGTACCATCTGATCCTATGCCAATCAGATGCTGCTAAACGACTCATTAAATGTGCGATTACCTTAATCTCACTTAAAATAATCTATAAACTGGTCCTAAATGTTATAAATATTGTTAAATATTTAATTAAGTTCCAAACTTGCAGTAATAATTATATTATTAAACCTAAACTATCCTTTCCCTCGCCTGTACCTCGTCCTTCATCAATTCTCTTCCCTTCCATCTTCTCTCAGTATTTATTCTCTGCTTACTTGTCCTTATTTTAGTTCATTACACTTTTTCGTCATATGTCAAATTCATTTTCTCGCTCCTCCTTTCCTCATCTAAATCGCTTCTTCTTGTTTTTGGTTGGTAGTTACTGTAGCTCTACTTTCTTTATTATCTTTAAATATCTGTCGTTGTACCTACCGAGAATTTCTTATCTCTCTTCTTCCCTCTTGCTTCTGTATATGAAAATCTCTTCTACAGAGCTCCTGTCATATTTATTTACCTTATTATTATTATTATATTAATATTATTATCATATTTTGTGTAACCTATTTTTTCTTCCTCATTTTTGTTTCTACTTGTCATGTTCTTACTATAAACCGTACGAATGTAGTATTTGTTTCCTTTAATTCTGATGGTCCATTTTATAAATCCTTCTTCTTCTCACTGCAGTTCATTTTTAATTCTTTTCTTTCCCGTTTTACCCCCATTGTTATTCCGCCGAAAAGAAGAAACGAAGAGTTAGATCGTTTCTTCTTTTCTCTTTCTGGTTTCTGACATATCTAATTAAATTCTTTGACATTTTCTCTTTCATCTTTTCCCACTCTTTTACTTCTACTCATGCTTATACTAAACCTACGATATGAAAATTCTCTACGTATTCCCAACAGTCATGTTCTATATTTTTCAGTCCGGCGACATTTTAAAAAAGATTGTCGTTTCCTTCTGCTATTAATTTTTTTTCTTACCATCTTCTTGGCTCTTATTCGAAATTATTTGAACGTCTTCATTGTTTTTCTCCTTTTTTCTTTATTCTTATTCGTCTTATTTTGTTTTAGCTATTTTTTCCTTCCTGCTCATATCCCCTTTTTTTTCTTATTGGAACTTTTTTTTTTATAGTAGTAACGACTTCCACTTCTGTTGTAAACTATCTCATTGATTGTTGTATTTATTTTATTTACTTATACAATGACGAATGTATACAAAACTTAGTTTTTTTTGTAAAACACAAAGAAAGGGTCAAATCACACTTTCTGCGCATTCAACCAAATGTCACCCTTCACAGCCAAAACAAGCGAATCTGCACTCCATCTTAAAGGCTCCTGCGTCTTTGCGTTGACTGTAAATCTGTGACTTCTTAACAAAGCCGCCAGTCCTACTTTCGACTGCATAATACCAAAACGCATTCCTATAAAAATAATTTCATTCGCATTTGCAACATTGTCACACCTCTTTCGTACCTATACACATCCTAGGACCTTCACCGAACGGAAGATGCACATAGCGATGCCTGGAATTCTTATTCTCCTCACTAAACCGTTCAGGATCAAACTTCTCCGCGTCAGGAAAATAGTCCTCGTCATAGTGCAACCCAAGAGTCGGAATAACAACCATCGTACCCTTCTCAATAACGATATCATCGTCTGGAAGTTTATAATCTCTGACACACTCACGTGTGAGGAAAGACACCGGTGGATACTTTCTGAGAGTTTCTGAAAAAAAAAGTCGGTAAAAAAGACTTGATACTATAGCTTGACATTCACCATCAATCACTTGGTCCATATACTTCATTTCTTGGATTGCTTCATACGTTATCTTGTTGTCGTGCTTCCCCAAAACGGTGTTAATTTCGTGTCTAACCTGGTTTTGAATGTGTTGATGTTTCGAAAGTTCGTACAAAGCGAAAGCCATTGTGGTGGAGGACGTTTCAAACCCTGCTAGAAAGAAAAGAACACTTTGGGCAGTGATTTCTTCAAGGGTTAAAGTTTTGCCATCGTGCTTGTAGCCGTCTTCTTCTGCAAGTTTGTTATTTTTTAAATCTATCAACAATTGCATGAAATCTTTTCTAGTAACGCCATTTTTCTCTCTGTGGTTAATAGTGTCAGTCACGATTTTTGTGAAGAACTTCTCTACGTCTTTAGGGGTCAAGGTTAGAGCTAGCGAGCGCGCAAGATCTGGGAAGTTCAAAGCGATAAGCCTTTTGAACATTTCTGCGCCAGAAACTGTTAGTAATTTTTGACCGTATAGCCTAAACGGTGAGTTTTCGTCACTAAAGGTGTCGCAGTTGAGACCGAAAGCACAGGAACCGATCACGTCTGTGGTGAATCGTGCCAAAAGCTCTTTAATATTGATGGGTTCATTCGTCAAGCTTTCTTCCTCTATGCGTTTTTCTAATCCATCTTCGCACTCCACCACAGTAGGGAACATCATCTTCATCTTTCCAGAAGTGAAAGTCGGGGTTAATTTCATCCTCAAATTCCTCCACTTTTGACCACCAATGGCAAGCAAATGTGCACTTATAGGGTCATCTTCTTCATTGTAGTAAAACCCACGGTCCACGAAATGTTGAAAATCTCTGCTCATCACGTTCCTAACGTAATCGGGTTCAATAATAAAATACACAGGTCTAGTCAGGAAAAATATTCCTCCGTGTTTCCACCCCATCCCTTTCATTTCTTTGTACAAGTTGAACATTGTAACACCTAAATTCTCTCGCTTGTAGAAAGGGTTGGTCAAGTTACCAAAAGGTACACTGGGTTGTAAATACGGTAAATTCTTTTTGTTCCAGTACTGGTGCCGCCATTTGAAGTAGGCAACCAACATCACAACCAAGGCCACCACCACACCAAGTAAATCTTTGACTAACGATTCCGTAACCAACATCGTGATACTACTGACGCACCGGTGCTCAGGATTTCATATTATAGTTTGTTATTGTGCCAAGATTACACCATTGTGACTCACCTATCGTTTAGAAGTGTTGATTATCGCTACAAATATTAACAGATTCGGAGATAATAATGGGTCGTACGTCATGCAGAAACGTAAAGAAACGGGTTTTGATCTGTATAGGCTGGTTAATATCTACGGAGCTTGGTTGTACTTTGGTTTGAGTTGAATGATGCAATGGTTGTGAATTAGAATTAAATTTTGTGAAATGTTTCATAAGTTCCCAAATAAGACCTACCTTCACTCATCTGTTTTCCTAACAAAAATATTTTTTATCAAAGATAACATATAAACAAACAAATCGCGGATAGGTTACCTAATTATATCATTTCAAGGCTACACTTAATCTTAATCTTAATTTTGCACATTTAAAAGTGATTGTCCTGACTGACATACGCAAAGTCTAAATTATTGAAGCTAGAAGCATGAAATTTGGACGGTAGGTTCCTTTTAAGGAAGTATTTTTGAAAATCCCACTCTTAAAGGGGCAAAATAACAATTTATATTTAATTTCAAATAATTGCACACATTTCGAAATCACCATGTAGTTAACAACAATGAAATATTAATTAACATAATAGTTTGCCCAAAATTAAATTCGACTCGTTTTGCTCCAATGTAGCTTAATTAATTAAATTAGTTCTCTAGTCCTCTTTCCTGTTTGGAGGAGACAAAGTCAATCAAATTTCATTTTCTTTTAACGCATATGCTTGTTGTCGGAACGTTCTAATAGTTCATTTGTTTCGAAGTATAAACATAAACAGTCGACAGAGACATCTTTTCCCGTTGGTAATCTGGTCTGCATTTGTGCTTATGCACGGAAATTCCAGCCCAGTGGCGCAAGGACTGTGGGGGTCTTATTTACATCACATATCACAAAAGAAAAATCGCAAAATCAAATTTTAATTCGACAAGAAGAAAATAAAAAGAGAACAAGAAAAAGTGTCTACAGTTGTCTTTTGAATTGTGTTTGTTATGATTTTACGAAAGTAAATAAATCACTATATTAACTTATAAGTATAATTACGCGATCAGTTAATTAAATTCAGCCAATTCAGTTGTCAGATTCGCGATTTAATAATGCATTATTATTAATTTTAATTCAAATATCTAATTCACCTTCCATAAATTGACCTTCTTGTATATTTTATTAATCACATACGTAACACAATTTCCTAAGATAAAAAACTTTGGTATGTATGATCGATGCTAACTTTAGGGTTCTTTTTCTGCCACGTAGATGTATTTTCAGTCTTAATCAACATATTAACTTTACATACAAAAATATAAAAGATTTATATGCAAATTGAGAAAACCAAAGAAATCCAAAATTTGATTTTTCAATGCCAAATTTCGCTCATACTTTTCCACTATTTTCGACAACTTATCTCAGCTCCCCATTTCCCATTTTCTCAAATCGCGTGTTGTCACTTCCACATCGATTGCGACTTCATCACTTATTCACCAATCTCTCTACCTTCATATTATTAATAACACTCGTCAATAAATTCACTCATCGAATTGAAGTTGTCCCAGTTTCACTTAATTATCCACACACGATGGTCCTCTCCATGGAAAAATGGGTCGGCAAAGTGGCCGTAGTGACCGGTGCTAGTGCAGGAATCGGGGCCGCTATTGCGAAAGCCCTGGTCGAAAGCGGCGTTATCGTAAGTTTTCACCCACCAGATTCCAATTTCAAACCCAAGTAAATCTAGGTTGTAGGCATGGCTAGGCGTACCGAGCTCATCGAGCAACACGGCGAAGACCTGGCAGACAAACCTGGGAAACTTTATGCTTGTAAAGTTGATATGTACAACGAAGAGGAGATCGTGAATGGGTTTAAGTGGGTTGAGGAGAATATAGGGCCTGTGAATATTTTAATCAATAATGCAGGGTCGTCTAAGGATACTACTCTGTATGATGGTAGTACTGAAGATTGGAAGAGTGTTTTCGACTTGAATATTTTGGCACTGTGTATTGCCACGAGGGAGGTGATAAAGATGATGAGGGAACATGAAATTAATGGGCACATTGTTCATATTAATAGCATTTTTGGGCACAGGGTGCCCTCTTTTGGGATGCACGTTTATCCGGCGTCGAAGTTTGCGGTGACTGCGCTTACGGAGACCTTGAGGCAGGAGTTGAATTCTATTGGGTCTAGGATTAAAGTGACAGTAAGTGGATATTTATTTTAATTATTTGATCAATTTCGTTTAAAAAAAAAATAAACAGAATTATAATTGTTCTACTTACGTACAATGTTGTATGCTGTATGAGGAAACAGGTGTGGGGCATAATAGTTATACTTTTAGCTATAGACAGAATTTCTGTTGTTTTTTTTTCGACTTCGAAATTTGCGGTGTCTAACATTTAGAGAAATCTAGGCTCTGATTGATCAAGCCTAGATCAGTTTGGAGCAACATTTTGCTAAAAATTTTGCACATTTTGGGTGCAACGACAGTCAATGTTAACTGCATCGGTTTGGTATTTAAAGTCAGAAACCGGACATTAGCATGAAACACTCTAGCATATTTGATCAATATTTGGTAGGTATATATTATTTTCACTAGACAAACAATACATGAAATTTGACGTAACTGTTTATTCTTGGTTGCTGATTTTGGTGGGCATGAAACAAAACAATATAAAGCTGTTTTGATAGTGTAGTGATTTATGTAGGCGGCAAATAAATGGCAATAAATGAGTGTGATTTAAATTTTAAATTTTGTTTGTTTCACTCCGATAACAATAAAATACTACGAGAATCGTTCTAATTTCCAAAACAACTTGTTTGTTGTTTTTAAAAACGTACAGTCAAAATCGTTGTTTTTAATCATTTTTGTGAAATAGTATAGGCGCCGTACGACAGTCCATGTGTCTGTATATTGTTATTTTTCTTGAAGATGTATACTCCGAAAATATTGCACCACATAAAAATTTTTAGGGTATTTTTTATAATTATCTTAAGAATGATAATATGCAAAAAAACTTGGTTTGAGTTTAAAAATTTTGCAAATTACCTTAGACATCATATAACAAACTTCTTCGAAACTGTGATTATGATTCTTATCAGCGAACTCCTTCCATCTTTCTTCTCAATCTTATATAACTTTTTAGAATTTCTTTCACCTTCTGTCTTTGATTTTTATATTTTTAAAATCCTCCTGTTTTCTTTTTAATATCCTTGCCATATCTTCACACGATTTATTGTTTTACCTCTTCGTTCCATCACGGTGTTTTCCGGTGAGACTTTTTGAACACACCACACACTTTCTGTGTTGCTTCTAAAATAGACTTCCTAAACCCTTACCACATTTTTTTTAGGTTTTCTGATGTTAAATCCAGTTTAACAATATCAAGAACTCATGGCTTCCTGAGGTCTTGATATTGTTTTTGTTTCTCCTTTTCTATTAGTCTAATGTCTTCCTGTTCTATTTTTGTTTCCATTTCTTCTATTCCGTCGGCCTCTACTTTCACATTTTCTCGATCTTTCATGACCCCTAGAAGACGAAGAAATAGGTCTCCCGTTTCCGTCCGTCTGTCCGTCTGTCCGTCTGTCTGCCGTCCTGGATTATTATTAGACAGATAATCTCCGAAAGTACTCGACCGATTGTTGTGAAATTTTGTATTTATATTAGGAATATCATGTAGATGGTAAAACGCTAACCAAAATTTATCTAATCATCCCCACCACTGACGCGATTACGTCACTTCAAAATTGTACATAGCAAATGGGTTTTAAATTGTATAAAATAACGTAATACATGTAGTTTATGACTCTGAGTAGAGTTTTTACCCGAAACTTCCAGATTTTTGGAAAAAAAATCAAAATTATAGAACAACATTTTCCAATTTAATTTTGAATATGGTAAACCAAATGCTTTGAAATCTTGCATGTTTTAAGGTTATAAAGTGCATAATAAGTTTTTAGTCAAAATATATTTGCTTATCCCCTCCAAAAAATTGATGACGTCAGCCCAAAAGTTTGCCGAATATATCCTATCTAAAATGTACAAAATATGATGAGTCTGTACCTGTATTTTATCATTCCATTCATATTTTTTGAATTTGCATATACAGGGTGATTCAAAAAAATTAATGATTTCGTAAATTTATTTTATTAATTTAATCAGGAACTACAAAACCGAATGCTTTGAAATCTTAGAGATGTTTTAAAGTTATCATAAAGATGCTAAATTTTTGATCAAAATGTATTTGCTCATCCCCCCTAAAAAATTGATGGCGTCACCCCAAAATTTTGCTGAATAAATCCTACCTAGAATGTACAAAATGTGATGAGTCTGTACTTGTGATGCATCATTCCATTAATATTTTTTGGATTTGCGTATACAGGGTGACTCAAAGAAAATATCATTGTATTTCAGGAGCGAGGGAAGATCTGTCGAAACAACTTTCGACCAATTTTTGTTAATCTGCTTCGCTTCAATTCACGCGTAAATTTTAAATAAGCTTTTCCCCTTTTGTTTTCCCTTCGTTGCTGTACTTTTCTCTTGTTTCCGAATCATACGCTACCTCTAACTTATAATTCTCATGACAATTATTTTCTTTTGTTACACCTGATTATCAAATAATTCTCACTAATTTTAACTATACCACTTCTGTGATTTAAATTACTGTCTCCTTCGCTGACCAAACGAAACTAAAGAAAATATTTTATTTTTACTTCTCAAGTATAAGCTAGGGCGACTACCTATTTTCATGTTTTCTCGACGTACTCTTGGGGCCATGACTCCAAGAGAACGAAACAATAATGCTGTAGTTTCCGTCTCTCTGTTTATTGTCTCTCTTCTGTGTCAATTTTTATTAGACAGATAATATTCAAAACTACCGGTACAATTGTTGTCAATTTTATCTGTATTATGTTAGGAATATCGTACAGGTGGTAAAAAGCGTATCAATATTTGTTTTATTGTCCCCACCATCAATGGGATCACGTCGTTTTTAAAATTCACAATAGTAAATGTTAATTAAATTTTATAAAATAAAGTAGATATTTCTACACTTGTGATTTATGAATCCGTGTGGAGGTTTTACCGTACACATCCAGATTTTTGAAAACAAAAAACAAAATTGTTTAACATTTTGCAATTGAACTTTGAAACTGCAAATCCTAATGCTTTGAAATGTTGAAAACGTTTTAAATTATCGTAAGATTGATAAATCGTTAATCAAAATTTTTTCGGCTCCCCTCCCCAAAATGATGACGTGATTTTACAAATTTTGCTGACTAAATGTTCTTTAAACTTTATAGAATAACATACTCCTGGGTGTGTGATTTATGAATCTGTGTTGATTTTTTAGCCTAGCCATTAAGATTTTTGGGAAAAAAATCAAAATTGAATTAACAGCATTTCACCATTTAACTATTGAAGTTGCAAAACTGAATGTTGTCAAATCTTGTAAATGTTTTAACGTTATCGGAAGCATAATAAATTATTAATCCAATTATTTGTTGAAATTGTTCTTCAAATTTATGACTATTTATCCTAGACATCCAGTTTCTTGTGAAGAAAATGGAATGTACTGTGTTGAGGAAACAAAATGAATAAAGTTTCATTTTCTTTTAGCACAAATGCACTGATTCTTGTTATCTGAAAGGGCTAATAGTCGAATTGTATCGAATTATATACATAAACAGTCAAAGTTAAGCACGTATTGAGAATACATTTTTTCTGCTTTAAATATATTTCATACTATTGGCACTCGTGTTATTTAGGTCACTGGTGTTTATGATAGAGGTCATAACAAAACAAAAATCGTAAAATAATTTTTTTATAATTTTTCAAAGAAGCGGGGTTTGTACTGTACTTTAAGGGCGATGCGCTATGTTTTATGCGTTTCGAAGCAACATAACACAGTTAGCTTATCTCGCTGAAAGAATCTGGGGACCCTTTCTGTTTTTTTTTTAATTCATCCATATTTTTACACATAAGCATGTAGTTTTTTTTTTGTACAAACAAAGTAACTAAATTTTAATTTTTAGAGTGTCAGTCCTGGTGTTGTTCAAAGCGAATTGACGACTCAAAGTCCAGATCCTCAAAAAAGAGAATTTTATGCAAGCATTCCCATTTTACGCGGAGAGGACATTGCTGACGGTGTAGTTTACGCTCTGTCAACACCTGAAGATGTCCAAGTAAGAAACGTCTAATCCGAATTTTAAAATACCCTACAATCAATCCACTTGTCTAGGTGCACGAGCTCACGATTAAACCAATGGGAGAGGCAAACTGAAGAAAAGTGATAAATTTTATCGTCAGTTAGGTTTAGCCAAGTTCCGTAGTGCATTAATGCAATCGATAGCAAGTACATAGATAAATAGCAATTATTTTCCAGTAGTGCACAGTGCAGTTGAAAAGTTTACGTCACAAATCGATATGTTTGTTTCCTGTTGTTATTTATTAATGTACCTAAAGGACCATTCACTAACCCAAATTCCTCCCTCTCTCACTAAGCCAACGAACTCCACTTAAACCTGACCCTCACTAACCATGGAGCGCTGGTACGGTAAAGTCGTAGTAGTGACGGGCGCGAGCGCTGGCATAGGAGCCGCGATTTCCGCCAAACTCGTCGAAAACGGTCTCCAGGTCGTGGGTCTAGCTCGTCGCCTGGACAAACTCCAAGACCTGGAAACCCAGCTCCAAAATCGCCCAGGAAAATTCCACCCGGTGCAGGCCGACATCACCAACGAAGATGACCTGAACCGGGCCTTCGCTTGGGTCAAGAACAACCTCGGCACCTTACACATATTGGTCAACAACGCCGGAGTCGCCAAACCGGCGACCCTCCTGGACGGAAACACCGAACTCTTCAAACAAGTTTTAGAAACTAACGTTTTAGCGCTCGCCGTGGCAACGAGAGAGGCCGTGAAGATCATGCGAGAGAACGCTGAGGAAGGTCATGTGGTGCACATAAACAGCACTACTGGGCACCGAATACCGAATGTCCCCCTTATGAACGTGTATTATGCGTCGAAATACGCCGTTACGGCTCTGGCGGAGACGTTACGGATGGACTTGAGGCGAGTCGGGAGCAAAATCAGAGTGACGGTATGTATGACAACCGAAAATGACAGCTACTATAGTTAAGTGCAGAGTTTGAGCCCCGGACTGGTCGAAACAGACATGGTCAACGACTTTTTGACAGCCGGAGTTGTGGGGAAGCTGATAGAAGCGGCCCCGAAGTTGCACCCTGAGGATATAGCAAACGCGCTGGTGTATGTACTGGGGACGCCACCGCACGTCCAGGTGGGTCGATTTATTGATAGAAGCAACCTTTAATATATTGTTTCAGATCAAAGAACTCATAATATCGCCAACGGGGTCGGAATGACACGTCTCCCAAAACTACACTTTTTGACAGTTGAGCCATACGCCACCTTGGACGTCATGTAGCAAAGTCGTCGGGATTGGTTTAAACGGTAGTATGGTCCGAGGGCTCACGCTAAATTTATAGTTACGTATCACCATTGCAAGGGCTGTTTTGATTTCCATAATAGCAAATCGTTGTCCTAAAATAAAATGTGTTCTTGTTTGTTACTAGAAGTTTTTTCTTACCAATGCAAATTCGTGGTCCTTCACCAAAAGGTAAATAAGAGTACTGATCCATCTTTTGTCGGTTGGTGGGGTGGAAACGCTCCGGTTTGAATTTCATGGGTTCAGGGTGAATGTACGGGTCAGTGTGTATGGCTCGTATGGGGACGAGAATTGAAGACCCCTTCTTCAAAGTTATATCACCATCTTCGAAGTAATAATCTTTGGTACACATTCTCGAAACTGAATAAACCGGGGCATGCAAACGCAACGTTTCTACAAACAACGTTATGGTCTTTGTCAGTCAAAAATTTTTCCTCACCTAGTACGACTTGTTCCAAATAGCTCATTTCTTTGATTGCTTCGTACGAAACTTCCCCATTATGTTTAGCCAAAACGGTTCTAACCTCTTGACTTAACTTCTCGTAAACTTCTGGATTAGCAGCGATTTCGTACAAAGCAAAAGTCATAGTAGCGGCAGAAGTTTCAAACCCAGCTAAAAAGAAAATAAAACATTGAGCCGTAATTTCCCCAATAGTGAAATCCTCTCCATCTTTCCGCTTCTGGTCCCTCAAATTAATCAATAATTGAAGAAAATCATTTCTGATGAAGCTATTCTTCTCCCGGTAATTAACAGTGTTAGCAACCACCTCAATAAAGAAATCCCCAGACGATTTAGCGATCTGTCTGAACCCCAGCATGCGACAAAACTGAGGGAACGCCGCCCCCAAATACATAACTATGCACCTAGCCATATCAAAATTCATAGCTTTCTTCGTATGTTTGCTGAATTCGTTCTTCCGAAACATGTCAACTTCAAGACCAAACGCACAATTGACGATCACGTCAGAACTGAATGAAGCAAACATATCTTTAACGTCAAAAGCTGTTCCCTTTTCGGAGTGGTGGCTCAGAGTTTGCTCCAAAACTTTCTCGCATTCTACGAAGACTTTGAACACCGTTTTGATCTTCCCGGTGGTGAAGATTGGCGTCATTTTCGTCCTCAGCTTTCTCCATTTGTCGCCGTTTAGAGATATCAAGTGGGCACTTACAGGGTCATCTTTTTCGTTGTAGTAGAAATTGCGGAAATTGAAGTGGGTGAACTCTTTAGCTAGGAAAAGGCGGACGTATTTTGGGTCGGTTGGGACTAAGCAGGGTTGTGAAAATAGGTAGATGCCGAAGTACTTATGGCCTTTTTTCTTCATGTCGTGGTACATGCGTATGGCCACTTCGCCCCAGTTTTCTTTGCGGAGGATGGGGTTGGGGTAGTTGCCCCATGGTAGGGTTGGTAATACGTATGGGACGTTTAGTTTGCTCCAGTGGTTGAAAGAGTACTTGTAGTATGCTAATACTAGTAGGAACACTGTTATAAAAAATTCCACTACTAATAGCATTTCGTTGGTTTTGCAGTGAAGTTGCAGACTGACGATTTTGGGTATTAGTTTGATGTTTTGGTTGATTTTGAGTTCAGTTAGTAGATTGTAATGGATATTAGGCAAACGTGGGCAATCAGTTTATGGATTTATGAGAAGAGTGTTAATCTTTAATACTGAGAAATTTGTAACGGTCAGGGTTAGCGTTTTAGCATATGTTATGATAAGAAAATGTATACATTAGGAACGATTTTCTGTTGTGTAGAAAACAAAATGGAAAAAAAATGTATGTATATATTTTACAAAATATAGTTCGGTATTTTTTGTCAAACACACCAAAGAAACAGTGAATTTATCATAGTCAGAACGTAGTGTTTGGAGGTTACATATATTCTTGTATTTTTCCTTTCAAATTATTTTTCTGTTCGAAACTACACAACCTCACTCTCCACAAAATACTGTAAAACAGGTTTTAAAAATAACCCTATTACCACTTTTTTTGTGAATCCTTTCATTGCTAAAAAATTTCGAGAAAATTGGAATAACGTGGTAACGTCGCACGAAATTTTAAAAACTAAACTGTGGATGTAAAGCCTAATAAGAGGAAGTCAATCAGAATGTATAAAAATATATAGGGTATTCTTTTTGAAAAAAATAAGTTGCGTTTTACGCCTTAAAAACATAATACTAATAGTGGAGAATCATTTTAGTGTATGGTCATCAATTTTAGTCTTTCATATTTTTCTGTTCCTAATAATATTTAAGGAGATACTGAGGAGCGTGCTTAGTGATTCACCTTGTATAAAATATATATATGTAATTTTTGAAAGTAAATATTTATTGATATAAGATGATGTAAAAATGACTTCATTGTGCCTTAAAGAAAAATTTGTGGTTTTTAGTATTAAAAACACAGGCTAGCAAAGCGAAGGAAGTAACCGCCGTACGATTTTAAACATATTTTTGTTCATTAAATTTAACTTTATTTTAGGCTGCTTTCAGTTAGTAAGGGCACTATAACGTTCGTTATTCATTTTGTATGTTGCTTTCATCAGAGTATTTATTAACAAATACATTTTTAAAATGTAAATTGAAATAACACTGAAACCTCAAATGATGGTTATGCAACCAACTCTAGATTAATAATAAAGTAATAATGTTTGTTATTTGTGTGCATTATTAACAGTGTCTTACAGCTTTGCGCTGTTTTGTGACTAATACAAAATTTTTAGAAATTTTGTGAAGGACTAAATTCTTTATATTATATTTAGTTTTAGTATATGTCAGTGCCATATTATCCGCAAATGTCAATTCCTAGAGTTTCACTGGTTCTATTCTCCAATTTCCTATATCTGTACTTCTATTTTTTGCGTCTTTTTTGTTTCAGACAAGTTTTCGTTCCTCATTTGTTTTTGTTATTTCTGTGGAGCGCTGACTCTTTATTGTGTTGTGGATCCAGTTTTTTCTCATTCTTTTTTTCCTTGAAACTTATTTTATTATAGTGCTAGTACATATAATCTTTACATTGCAATCTTTTGGTATGTTCTTTGTCGTTATAGTGTTATTTAATGTGTCGTGGAGATATTCTTCCTTGCTGTTTCCTTTAACTTTAGCATTTCTAGGATGGTTTCATCGTGTCTTGGCCCTCTACCAAGCTTCAGTTTGTTGATAGCTTGGTTTATTTTTTTATTTTCTTCTTTTTCTTTTTCCTGTGTGAGTTCTGCTAATTCTTCAAAATATTGTTTCTATCTTTTCATTATATCGTTCCCATCCGTACCTAAGTGTATTTCCTTTTTTATCTTTTATGTTTCTATTCTGAATGCTTTTTTTGTGTTGTTAGTTGTTTTATTGTAACAATAGTTTTTGATTTTCTGTATGGTTGGTTTTGTTTTTGTGCCGGAATTTTTCCCCATGATTTTTATTGTCCTTTTAATATTTGTTTCACTTTTGCTTATCAACTTATAGCGTTCACAGCTTCTTCAGTTTTTATTTTTACATATTTTTTACCGCTGTTTTTCGTTGCTTTAACTTTAACCATTTATCTTATGTTTTCATAGAGTTATTTACTTCAAATAGGTTTTTTATTTTTTGTTGATATGTTGGTTTGATCTCTTTTTCTTTCACCTTGTGATTTTGTTGTTTTGCACGTTGTATTCTGTGATTTCTGGGCTGTTATAATTTCCATTCTTATCAATCAGTGGTCACTATCTTGTTTTTGTATTTTTACATCTTTGACCCTAGTCCAAAATCTGTATGAAATAGTCTATGATTGATTTTTTTCTGCTATGGGCTTCTGTCGTGTATTTGCAGATGTTTTTATGTTTGAATTTTGTATTTACTATCAGTAGATCTTTTGAGATACATAAATCTATTATTTTGGAACCGTTTTCATTTCTGTTTTCTCTCCATTGGTTCTTATATATCCCTCAATTTCTCTGTTATCGTTTCCTACTCATCCATCCATATCTCGCATTATTTCGTGCTCTCATTCTTCATTTTCTTCTATTTCTATTTTCTTATTCGTTTATTTACGAATGTTTATTTTTAAATTCTTTTTGCTTTTCCTCTAAGGTTTTCATCCACTCCCGATTTCAGTTTTTCTATTCATTTTCTTTTCTTTATGATTTCTGTCACTCGTATTGTCAAGATTCAGTTCTTCTATTAGGTATTTCATCTTCTTTCTCATTTATGTTTCCGTGTACCCATTTTTATAATGTTTTGGTTTTTCTTTTGTGGCTTGTCACATGGTTTTGTTTCAGTTTTAGTCTTTTACATTGTCATTGGTTTGATCGTACTCTGGTTTTCCTTTCTTCTGTTGTCCAACCCATTTCTGAGTTCTTCGTCCGTTTCGTCATCTGTGCAATTTATGGGTTTTTTGAATTATAACTCTTTCTTGTTACTTTCCTTGCATTTACTGTTTTTTTTTGCCTTCTCTTTTGCCAATTTCTTTTCTTTCTTTAATCTTTTCGTTAACCAAATCTTTTGTCAATGATTAACTTGTTATTTCTTAGTATCCCCTCTGCCTTGCTTCTTTTAAGTGCGGTATCAGCATTTTCTTTTCTTCTTTGGTCTTTTTACTGTCGTAAATTACGATAACAAAGTTTTCCTCTTGAATTTTAATCGACACAGCATACAAGAATTATATTTCTAATATCGAGAACAGCGTCTCCACAAATCCAAAAAAATTTTGGGCTTTCGTACATGGCAAAAAAGGTCACTCTAAAATTCCAGGCGTAATGGAATACAATGATACCGAGCTTACATCACCGCTATCTATAGTTGAAGGATTTGCGCACTATTTTAACAGTGTTTATACCAACTCTAATCCGCTTACTTCTTCTTCCAATTCTAAAACTAGGTCGTCTGTCTTGGTTAATCTTGAAACCATATCAGAAAAGGATGTTCTTACAGCACTAAAAAGTTCTAAAGACTCTTTTACTATGGGACACGATGGTGTGCCCAGCTTCCTTCTAAAGGACTGTGCTTATGTTTTTATTAAACCTTGTTTATATTTATTTAATTTAATATTAAGGTGTGGTGTCTTTCCTGTTATTTGGAAAAAGGCAATCGTTTGTCCGATATTTAAAAAAGGAAATCAATCGAAAATTGTCAATTACAGACCCATTTCGCTGCTTTGTAATTTTGCTAAAGCATTCGAGTCGATTTTATTTAAACACATTTATGCTTCGACCAAAACCAATTTGTCACCGTTTCAGCACGGGTTCATGGAGAAACGCTCTACAATTTCTAATCTAGCATCTTTTACACAGTATACATCTGAGGCCATTGACAAAAAAAAGCAGGTAGATACCATATATCTTGATTTTCAAAAAGCATTCGATCAAATCGATCACTATTTACTAATCGATAAGCTTGAGCACTTTGGATTCTCTGACAGACTTATCCAACTTTTTACTTCATACATTTTCGACCGTGAACAGTATATTCGATATCGCAATTTTACATCTACTGTTATCAAACCTACTTCAGGTGTTCCCCAAGGATCGAACCTTGGACCACTTTTATTTTTATATTTTATTAATGATATCGTTGATAACATCTCTTGTAAAAAGTTAATGTTTGCAGATGATTTAAAACTTTTTTTCCAAATCAACTCGATACAGGATTGTCTAAATCTACAAAACAATTTAACAGCTGTTGTTAATTGGTGCTCAGTTAATCGACTTTACTTAAATCTTGATAAATGCTCCATCGTAACTTACTCAAGAAAACATGATGATATACTCTTTTCTTACAATATAGATGGTACTTTAATTAAGCGATGTGAGTCTATTAAAGATCTTGGTATCCTCTTTGATTGTAAGCTTAGTTTTGTCGATTATATAAATGATATGGTTTCCAAATGCTTTCGGACGTATGGATTTATTTACAGAAATTGTCGTGACTTTAAGCGTGTCGACACGTTACAGGCTCTATTTTTCGCACTAGTCAGATCGAGAATTGAATATGGTGCCTTAATTTGGTTTCCAATTTATCAAAACCATATTGATCATATAGAATCGGTTCAACGCTTGTTCTTAAAATTTATGTCTTTTCTTTTGGATGGGGTCTATCCTTGTCGAGGATATGACCACTCGTTATTATTATTAAGATTTAATTTTTTATCATTACATAAAAGACGAATTATTATCGCCATTAAATTTTTGTTTTTTTTAGTTAGAAATCAAGTAGACTGCCCTGAATTGCTTCATTATTTAAATTTTCTTGTACCAAGAATTAGTGCACGCCATAATCATGTATTTTATTGTACTGCTGACAGAACTAACGTTTTAAGAAGATCTCCAGTTAGTATTATGTGTAGTTATTTCAATCAAATTTCACACTTATGCGATATAAATTTCGACTCTATTAACAAAATTGTTAGTTGTGTTAAGCAATCATTATATGGGTAGAATTTTCTTTTCTTTTTAGTTTTACTTTCTTGTTATTGTTAATTTTTAATTTTAATTTTTAGTTTTTCCTGTAATTGGGTGTAACCCCGTTGGAAAAAATAAAATAAAATAAATAAAAATAAATAAATAAATAAATAAAATAAATAAATTTCACTTTTAGTTTCAAATTTTTCATGAGTTTCTGCATGTTCAGACTCGCCTTGTGTTTCAGTTATCACATCGACGAATGAATAAGATGATTCATCCGATGTAGTGCCTACTGAGTCTATTTTTTTGCCGCTCTACCATCTAATTAAACTTTAACTGCTGTCGTTCTGCCAATTTTCGTTTTCATTCCTCCTTTTCTTATTCCTTCAACAGTGTTGCCTCGTCTCTTTTTTTGTTTCTTTTCTTGTCTTTCTTGTTCCATCCTTTTATTAACGGGTCTCCGGTTTCTGTCTGTCTGTCCGCCCTCCGTGACGATCTTTGTTAAACAGATAATTTCCAAAACTATTGGACCAATTGTTGTCAGATTTTATATGTGTATTATGAATATCATGTAGATGGTATAACGCTAACCTAACTTTGTCTAATCATCCCCACTAATAATGTGATGACGCCACCTTAAAATTGTATAGTATAAAATAACATAATCCTACATGTGTGGTTTATGATTCCGTATTGAGTTTTTACCCGAAACGTCCAAATTTTTGAAAAAAAATCTAAATTATGTAACAACATTTTGAAATTTAATTTTGAATCTGTAAAACCGTGCAGTTGTTTTAAAGTTATCGTAAGCGTGCTAAATATGATGAGTCTATACTTGATTTATCATTCCTTTAATATTTTTTAGACTTACTCATACAGGATGACCCAAAAAAAATAATGAGTGAGCCAATTTATTTCATTAATTAAATCAGGATCGGGTCAATACACTTTCGCAGAAAATTTGGGAATACAATACTGTTGTTATTACCAGTTCACTAGGTACACCAATCCACGTTGATATACGTGTCCTTGAAAAATGTTTATAATGTTATCAGAATCGACAATTTAATTATATTTCAAATTGGTGCCCTACCCCTAGTTCCCTATACTCTCCCACATGTTTTTTATGGTTTTAATTTGAAGTCGCATACATTGTAACCGGTGCTAGTTCTGGAATTGGAGCAGCAATTGTGGATGCCCTTGTCGAAAACGGTTTAATTGTAAGTAATATTATCACCTTATTAACAATTACTTTTCTTATTTTTTCCTAGGTGGTAGGTATAGCACGTAGAAGTGAGCTCATTAAGAATCGCGCCAAAGAGTTATTAAACAAAAAAGGGAAACTTTATGCTTTTAAAGTTGATCTTACCCGAGGAAGACCAAATTCTATCGGCTTTCAAATGGACTGAAGAGAATTTAGGGCATGTCCATGTTCTTGTTAATGACGCTGCGTTTGTATCTGAAGAGTTATTAACAGAAGGAAATACTGAAATCTGGAAAAGGAGTTTCGATGTAAATGTAGTAGCCCCATGTTTTACCACACGGGAGGCGGTTAAAATTATAAGGAAAAATGATATCAAAGGCCACATAATTCACATTAATAGTGTTGCAGGACATAAAGTTTCACCTGTCCCTAAAATGAATGTTTATGCAGCCACCAAGCATGCAATTACTGCTCTGAGTGAAACTTTAAGACAGGAGTTAAATGCTTTGGGTAGCAAAATTAGAGTTACCGTTTGTAGACCTTTTGTGTTTTGGTAAGTTTTTCTGCGAACATTACTTCTAGAGTGTTAGTCCCGGTCTTGTAGTGAGTGAAATGACGGTTCTGAGTAAGGACATAAGTGAAGAAAGAAAGAAGTTGTTCGAAGTTCGTCCGATTTTGCAAGCTGAAGATATAGCAGATGGGGTTGTTTATGTTTTGTCTACACCAGAACATGTCCAAGTAAGTTGATTTACTTGGAAGACTATGTTTATTTTAAGTTGTCTTTATAGGTGCTTGAACTGACGATCAAGCCAGTTGGTGAACCTCACTAAGTTTGCGGTACAAACAAAACAACTTCACCATTCACCTAAACGATCTGTCAGCATGAATTTACACAACATAATTAACATAAAAAAACTGAGCAATTTTCTTTAGTTTTTTATTACGATAATATAATAATACGGATTAGATCTCTTTAAAAAACTTTTTTTTAATTGTAATTGACACATTACATGTGCACAAGTTGGAATATAGAAATGTAAATGATTTTGGATCAACTCTTCTGGTTACAATTATAGGTACTAAAACCAAACCAACACGGAAACTTTTAAGAAATATATGAAAGAAAATTGGGTAGGTAACCTCTTCTTTTTTATCAACTATATCAACGATAAATGCACCATACAAAAGGTATGAGTAAATGCATTTGGAAACATCGGAGAAGAGATTTCCACTTTCTTAAATCTTCAAATTTTCAATTTATATACAGGACACTGCTTCCTCCACATTTGTGCGGCAATACTAATTGATGCTGGTGGTGACATAACTTCATTAATGAAAATCCAGAGCAGTCGCTGAAAAATATAATTCATGAAACAGTTCAAAATAAAATGAACGTGGAAAATCAAATACTGAATTCAGTTGCGTACGATGAAGCTACCAACACAATCAACATCATGTCATCAACTTCAATTACATAATGTCACAAAATTGCACAATGATAATTGTACAATCAAGAATGTCATTGTTTTGATATTTCAGTTCGTTTACTTCCTTTGGTATTTCTAATTGTAACTTATGAATAATACAGCAAAACCTCCCTTAACGGACACCTCTACATAGCGAACACCTCTAATCAACGAACAATTTTTAAGAAACCTAAAGTGTGTTTAGCAAATGTAGGTATTACCACCTGTGTTTTTATCAATATTAAGTTGATAAACAGGAATATCCAACTGCAGTGGCTTGACAAGTGCAAACACCAGATAAGCGGACCGTGTATGTATAAACAGTTCGATAAAACAGAGTGCCAAAAATTATCTAGACGTTGAAGTTAAAGCGTTCTATTTCTCGCAAGCAATGGTACTTTCAATGGAACGATGGGTCGGCAAAGTAGCCATTGTAACCGGCGCTAGTTCTGGCATTGGAGCAGCCATTGTGGATGCTCTTGTCGAAAACGGTTTAATTGTAAGTAAATTATCAGACCTTATTGAAACAATCACTTTTCCGCTTTTTTAGGTGGTTGGTGTAGCTCGCAGAACTGAGCTCATCGAAAAACGCGCCAAGGAGTTATCGGAAAACTTTATGCTTTCAAAGTTGACTTTACTCGCGAAGACGAAATTCTGTCTGCTTTCAAATGGGTTGAAGATAATTTAGGATATGTGCATGTTCTTGTTAATAACGCCGGTTATTTATCAGAAGAATTGTTGACTGAAGGGAATACTGAAACGTGGAAGAGAGGTTTCGATATAAATGTACTGGCCCCATGCATTGCGACAAGAGAAGCGGTTAAAATAATGAGGAAACATGATATAAAGGGGCACATAATTCACATTAACAGTATTGGCGGACATAAAGTTTCACCTGTGCCGAAAGTCAATGTTTATCCAGCCACCAAGTTTGCAATCACTGCTCTGACTGAAACCTTAAGGCAGGAATTAAATGCTCTGGGTAGCAAAATTAGAGTTACCGTAAGTAGAACTTTTGGATTTTGTTAAATTTTTATGTGAACATTGCTTCTAGAGTGTTAGTCCGGGTCTTGTAGTAAGCGAAATGACAGTTCTAAATAAAGATATAAGCGAGGAAAGAAAGAAATTATTTGAAGTTCGCCCAATTCTGCAAGCTGAAGATATAGCAGATGGGGTTGTTTACGTTTTGTCTACGCCAGAGCATGTTCAAGTAAGTTGATTTGTTTGAATGATTTCATTTATTTAAGTTATGTTTATAGGTACATGAATTGACTATCAAGCCAGTTGGAGAACCTAACTAAAAAAGAAATCTTTTAAAAGTTTCTGGTGTTTAGGAAATACAACCAGCGTTTGAGTACAGACGCAAATAAATTATCATCAAAAAGAAAATGGCTTTTTACTTTTTTTTTCACTCAAATATTTTATCAATTTTGTTACTGTGTACTCGTATATCCTCTTTAGAGAGCATCGCACGAAAATAAAATACGTATTGACATCCACTTGAGAGATAAAGAGTGTTTTTTTCCAGATCAGGCAATGGAATATAGGAACAAAAGTATCAGTTATAGATAATACACAATGATGAAGCATATAAATAGTACAACAATTTACAAAAAGTAAAATAACGAGGGCTCATCACAAAAAAACATAAGCTCACTCCTCACATTCGGCTCTTTCAATCGACATATGATTTAGCTTGACATCATACGCTCACTTTTAATTGGAAGCAGTATGATAAAAACTATCCAAGGTGTGTGAAATGTAAGCGCAGTTATTTTGGTAAAGAGTGTCTGGAGTTTCTTTTAATGTATTCGCCGTTTTCCAGAAAGTACAAGTTCTAAGACTTTAAACCACTTTTAATATTGCGTGGAAACTTTTTTTACTAATCTGTTGATGGATGATACGCAGTTGTGTGGTCTTGACAGTTTTTACTAGTTGATGGAAGTCGTAAACAAACTGATTTGAACTGCATATCCCTGTCAGTGGAAACTACCGATCGACAGATTTAGTGTTCTATGGTGTTTCTTGTTGGTATTAGAGCGGTTAAGAGATGCAAAGGTGCATTTATACCATGCCGATTTTTTTTAGGCTCGATTGCCAGTATTCCACTTATAAACTGATTTCAGTCCTAGATATGACCATGGTGTTTAAGGCATTGCCTGAAGGGTCAGACCACCCACGACGAACTTTTCAATACTTCATCGAGTTCAGCAGTAATGCACCCCTCCAGTAAAACTTGGAAGTCCAGCTCGAGGTCCCAGGGGTTGTTCGCCGAGGGAGCACGTCGGATAAGTAGGTACCGGTAACCTTCGCCAGAACCTATATGCCTTGCGAGCTAGCGAGTCTCCTGCGTGTAAGGGCATCTGGGCCCACGTAGTCCCAAAGTAACCTTTTCACCCGTTACCCAATCTGAAATCTATAACTAGGTCAATACGTAGCTAAGGCTTGTCTTGGCGGATCAAGATAAAATTATTATCCTCCCGTCCGCCCAACCGCTTGGCTTCCTTGTACCTTCTGCTGCCCCAAAGTAGGGTACTAAGACGGTAGAAGTGCTCGCAAATTATGCAGCCCTTTTACGAGGAACTAAAGGCTCCGATCGGCCTGCACCAGAGATCCCGTTTGTGAAAACAGCGTGTACTAAAAGGCTAGGCTTTCCTAATTGTAGTATCTGTATCGGACAGGATCAAATTGCACCTATTCTGTCTTGAAGGTGCTAGACCAGACCTAGATGTTTTATTTAATAAGCGGAAGTCGAAGCAATAAAAAAAGTCTGGATCATCGCACTGTGATACCGCCATTGCAATTTGTAGAAAAGGTCGTTAAGTTTAGTTTCTCTGTATCGCTTCTGTACAATTTCGACAAGCGTTATCACTATTGGTCTTATTATATTGCGAGTACTTATAAATGTTTTCAGTTTAGTTGCGTCTCTGGTATCACACAGCGTGGACGTAATTAAATTGTTTCGTTATTTTATCAAGATTCAAGAACGACTCACCCGGTTTTCTCGAAAATTGTGGAATACAGTACTGTGATTCTCAGTACTACAATGCATCTATCCAAACTGATATACGCATCCTTGCAAAAATGTTGATGATGTCATCACAAAATTTTGTAATGGAAAAACTCACTTGAAATAAGCGTGTAGACGCTTCTTTACATTTACTTGAACATTACATATATATCTTTATGTTAACTTATAATAAGGGTTATCATGAAAAAATTAAATTCACCAAATCAAATGTTATAATTTTTCGAAACAGCTGGATTCGATGTGCATTATGGGCCAGGAAAATTTTGTGGAAATAATCTTCGACCAATTTTTTTGATATATTAAGTCCGTTTAGTAATGAATTTTATAATATACAGAATGCGCAAAAAAATCACGGACTGCAGTTGTCATCATTATTTGAAAACTATCCATATACATGTATGCATATATACAGTTATGGATAAAATAATTTAGTGGCGATTTTTTTTTTTTCATATTCGAAATCAAACAGAACAGTCAGACCATGCGTTGCCGTAATAAAAACTATCGTCTTTGATTAATTACTAACAACCATTTTTACATACAACTGGATAGTCTTTGTCATTTGTATGTCTCAAATTGTTCTTTTATATGTTCTTTTATATTTTCCATAATTGGGTTATGTACTTGTAGAAAATAAATTATTTTTATTATTATTATTATTTCAAACTGCAATATATATTTTTTCGAAATTTCTGTGGATACCATAGATCTGATGTTTATATTTCCTTAATAGAATATTGTTACGTTGATTGGTGATTTAAAATCGGCGTGGGTCAACCTGAACAATTTATTTCTCACAGTACAAGTGTATATGAGTAACTACATATTGAAAATATAACAGCGAATAATTCAACTTGATTCTTAATCAATAATTCTATTCGTGTGGTTTGGACTAGACTAAACATGATTGCTTCTGACGGTGGTCCTTATTTAAACCTTACTTCCTTTCTGGATAGGTCGCCATCAACGCTTCGAGATTGTTCTGGACCTCTCCGCCGAGACTTAGGCAGAACCGCTTTTAGGCGCTCCTTTAGTCGAACGCCGCCGGCGTCACCGATAATGAGTCACCCATTATCGCCGTATATACTAGAAACCCTTGAGAAAACATATCCAAAAATGAAAAAATACGCAAGATATTTAGTTTAATTAGGTAATTTAGTTAGGTATATTTCCGGCTAAACTGCTAGTACAAAAGTGTATATTCCATTTTAAAGTTGCGGTAAGTCCTCCATATTCAGGATTATTATGCGTTCACGATCTTTATATAGTAGGGTTGGCCATGAAAATCTAGTGAGTTTGTTGGTATTCGATGCAGAAGAATAAAAATTGCCTTAAATTTTTTTCGTTACGTTATGTTTTATTAACTT